TAAAAGCAATGCAGGTGAATTCCTTGTTTGCATCTGTCTTTGCTGTTACTCACTGGCACCTGCTTCATGGCCCCTGTCATTGCCCTGTCCCTGTACTTGCCCAGCCCTGCTGCCCCACATGTGGTCCCATGGTCCTGCTGGGCAGGCACAGCATGCATGGGACAGGGTGTGTTTGGGGTGGGGAATGGTCCCCCCAGCATGATGCCCAGGACAACCATTGGTGCACTGTTCCCCCATGGCAGCCTGTCCCAGCTCACAGACCATGCCTTGCCCAGAACATGTCCCACATGAGGCTTTGCAGATAGTCCTGCTCTGGGATCTGCTGTCATCTGGGACAGGAGAGAAGCCAGGAGGCCTGGCTGTTCCCCTGATGTATGCATGGAGCCAGCAGGAGGATGGAGATGGCTCCACAGACAAAACTAACCCATTAACTTAGACATTTTCCTATCCCAGGCACTTTCTAACCCAGCCCTGCTCCTCCATTGCTCCCCCCTTCAACCTCTCCTCAGCCCAGTGCAGCATCCCAGTGTGGGGTGACCCCATGGCAGTGCCCACCTCAGCGTGCTGCAGAGTTCTGGGCACTCACACCTCCCATCCCCTCTGAAGGGCACAGCAGCTCTGGGAGAGCAGAGAAGTGGGTTGTCCTTCACATCAGCCCCAGGGCTGGGTGCCAGCCATGGCATGAAGAGACAGAGGCCAGTGTCTCCCTGTCCATGCATAAATCAGTTTCTCTTGGTCATTTATTCCCCCTTGGAAGCACAGAGTTACTCCTCTGCTCTTCTCCAGGGACGTCCCTGCCTCTGCCTCTTCCCCATGGGAGTGTGTCCATGCTGACCTGGCTGGCCATTCCTGCCCCCTCCCCATGCTCTGTACAGGGCCCTGAGCTGGTGGTGCTGCTCTGCAGAGTGAGGAGGCCGTGGTGCCTGAAAGCCATGGGAACACAGTTCCAGGCAGATCCCTTCTGATCATTCACTGTCTCCAGGGGAACTGGGCACCCAACTTCTCAAAAGTTGTCTTAGCTAGGTCCGTGACCTGCAAGACCATCTCAGTGTGTCATTCTTGAAAGGTGCCTTCATCGTTGCAGCACCAGCTCCGGCATAGACTCCACAGCGCAGGTCATGTTATTTCTCTGTGAAGCCTCCCTTCCTGCATGTACCTGCAGGATGGAGATGACTGGGGCAGCTGGGGCTCCCTGTGCTGAGTGTAAGAGCTGGTCTGAGCCTCCAGGTAAAGCCACAGTGAGGTCTAGGTTCACACCAGGGCCATCTATCCAACTGCAGGGAGACCTGTGGGTGAAACCTGCACCAAAAGAAACACTTCCCCATGTCTGCATGCTGACCACGCAGGTCCTGGTTTTCCTCCCTCTGTGCTAATGTCTTTGGAGGGGTGTTGAGCACCCAGCCCCTGTATGTCTTTCCCATGTGGCTCCTGACTTCATGGACCTCTGACCTGCCTCCTGCCCAGTTTATCCCTTGCACCTTGTACAGAAACCCTTCCCCACTGTTGCCCATCCTTGTTGCCTTTGCCTGCCCCGGATCAATCACACCACGCTTGATGGCAGCTTTGGGGGAGCAATGTAGAGATGAGCCCAATGAGGATTTCAAGTGCCAGGGCAGGGAGTTTACTCAGGGAGCAGTGGAAGGCAGGTTGCAGCATCTCCCACAGTTTCTGCAGGAGTTAGGGCAGAAGAAGCAGCTCCTTCAGGAGACAGCAAGGACAATGACGGTGGGATCTGGGGAGCTGCTGGCACTATGCAGTAGTGGCCACATCCATCTGGAGAGATGGAAATGTCCTTCCCTGTTGAAAGACCGATCTCCTGCAGCACAGCTTTTTCTCGTGACCATGGCATTGCCCTGCTCTCCTTGCTGCCATGGGCAATATTTGGGCTTCTTCAGGGAGACTTCAAGACCCCACCACCACATCTCCCCCACCTGTGACCCTAAAAATGCCAAGCCAAGAGCCTTTCCAATGTCAGATCTTGGGGAGGGACAGAACATCACATGCCAAAGTCTCTCCTGCCCTCTGCAAGTCACAGGTAGAAGGCAAGGTTGCCAGAGGGAAGCCTGGATAGCCAAGTCCTGGGAGACCCCTGGTTCTAGGGGACTCAGACAGGATTGCTGGGGCAGGCCGTCATTTCCAAACTCAGTGCCAAGAGGAGCCAAGCCTCTCGTACACCGTTTCACAGCTTTTTCCTGCAGCCATTCCTGCAAAGCAATAGTCAAAAGGCCCTGGAGAATTGGGTCTGCCTTTGAAGCTGGTGATGTTCTGAATAGGGCTTGGGAAGGCCCTTCCAGCTTCAATTTCTCCACTCTTCTCGATGCTGGTGGCACCCCAGACAGGACACCACAGGGTGGCACAGGCAGCCCCAGTCCTGTCCCTTGCTGGTATTGCCACTGCCTGGTGGGAGCTTAACCCTGCAAATGAGCCAAGAACCATGAGAGGCCTGTGAACAGCCCCTGTAAAAACAAACTTCTTTGGAGAACTGCTATGCAACTGCTTTATTGAAACCATTCATAGCATCTTACCAGGAATCAAAGAAGAAGGACATAAAGCAAGAGGAGGACTTGCCTGGTTTAGTTTCAATTAACAGAAAGGAGAGGGTTTACCTCCTGCAATCTGCCAGGTTCTCGCTGTGCAGGTGAAATGCTGATTCCTTCACCATCTCTTCCTTGGACCATTTTTGCAGAGACTTCTTCCTTCCACAATCCATTTTTGAACTAATATGGGCTCAAGTCACGGCTGGTGGTGCCTAATTTACCCAATGTCATGTGTAAAGCACTCAGTTAAAGGCTATAAAAAGTTCCCAGGTGCCTTTTGGGGTTGCAGCACCCTCTTTTCCATACTCTGCTCCATCCCCCACTCCATCCCCCACCTGCTGTGTGAGGTCAGGGCATATCACTCTGGAACATCCTGATTCTAGACCCACTCACCCCACAATAAACAGTGCATGTTAGATGTTAGAAAGAAATTCTTTACTGTTAGAGTGGTGAGGTACTGGAACAGGTTGCCCAAAGAGGTCATGGATGCCCCATCCCTGGAAGTGTTTAAGGCCAGGCTGGATGAGGCTTTGGGTAATGTGGTCTAGTGGAGGGTGTCCCTGCCCGCAGCAGGAGGGCTGGAACTAGGTGATCTTTAAGGTCCCTTCCAACCCAAACCATTCTATGATTCTATGATTCTATGTTTGCAATGAAAATAACATGACAAAATAACCCAACAACCCAACCTGTGGCCAGACCTCAGGGAGTAGCTATCGAAAACAGAAACATCCCTGAACTGAAATGCTGCAGCCAAGACTTTACAGAGGACATTGAGATCAAAGAGTTTAGATCTATTCAGCTTAACAGGAAGAGGAGTGATGTTAACACCAAATCAACTGGATTTTATACAAGAATACCTCTGTGTAAGGGAAACACTGACCCCAAAAGGGCTCTTTGAGCGTCTGCGATTCCACGAGGTTAAAGCCAGACAAATTGCAATGTGACATATGAAGCTTTGGAGGAAATGACTCTTTCCGGTATTTTGAAACCCCCTAGAAAGACTGCAAGTGTAGGAGCTAAACAGAAATGCTGCATCCAAGACTTTGCAGAGGATGTTAAAAAAACAGAATGAGTGGGAAAGGAGAAATACATGCTACCTCGCAGCAGAGGAAACACCTCGTACTGAAACACCAAAAATCTTCAGTCTGGTCTGCTTAACAGAAAGAGCACTGATGTTCACATGATTAGAAATGTGAATGTCTCTGTGTGGGGGAAATACTGACCCCCAAAAGTCTCTTTATTCTGCAGAGAGGAAATTCTGCCAGGTCAAAGCCAGAGAAATTGCAATGTGACATACAAAGTTTTGGAGAAAATGTGACTATATCTCTGATGTGATAAAACCCCCTAGAAATAGAAAAAAGTTTCAGGTGCATTTTAGGTTTTTTGGTTTTGTTGCCTTCTACCATTTTATTCTGTCCAGAAAACAAAGTCTGTTTCCTTTGTTAGTCCTCAAGAACTCTGTTGGGGAGATCATTGGTGACACAGGGCTGGACATTGTGTGTGTGGCCTGCTGCCTTGGTTGGGAAGTGGGAGCTCAGCACAGGACTGTGCAGATCCATCTGGGACAGTCTCACAGGCAAAGGGAGGGAAACACTTCCGTTCACATGACAGAAGTTCTGAAAGATGATGGAGTATGATTTAAAAAATAAATATTTCTGTAGAATACTATCACAGGGTCTTTTCCTCTGGAAAATATCTCCCTTCCTATTTTTGCTAATTCCACTTTTCCATCTGGCTCTATTGATTTAGAGAAAACACCATGATTGCGGAGGAAAAATACGCACCTATGGGCATCTCATTCATTCATTTTTCTAAGAGAACTGTTCCTGAAGAACCACTCTGCAGGTCCATCTCAATAGACATTCTCATCCTCACTGAAGTTGGTGGACACATGCTTTGCAAGTGGTCTTAGGTTTGTGGTTAGCTTCATGCAGGTCAGCAAGTGAACATACCAGCTGAGGTTTGGTTCATGGCTGTGTAGATAAATTTAGTCTGTGGCAAAGGCGAGCTGATGCAGTTTGATGTAGTTCACTTGCCTTGCAGGCTTTATTGATGGGCACCACAATACCATGCAGATGGGCAGGTGTCAGACCTCAGTGCTATCTTGATGCACACTACAAACATGGTCCTGAGTTTGCCATCTCCTTAAAAGACAGGAATTTCACTGTGAAATTATTTCAACATCTATGCTTTTTATTCAGTAAATGGCTCCAGTGAAAAAGTTGTACCTTCCAAATTTAAAAACCATTGTGTTTACTGATGTTCATGTTTCCAGTCTCAATGTGGCTCAAATTTGTTGATATTTAATGACAATTTCTTAGCAGCCATGATGAGCTGTAATGTCATTCCTGAAAGCTTCTCTGTGAACAAAAGAGGATGTATGGAAAAGGGGTGATGTTTTGTTGGGAAGTGGAAGATGTTAGCTGAAAATACAGAGTCAGGAAGCAGCTCATATTAGCCTCTTCACTGGAAAACTTTCTGAGATAGTATGTTTTTCCTGATTGCTTTTTGAAGAGCCACTTTGACATCCTTGTTCCTTAGGCTGTAAATCATGGGGTTGAGCAGGGGAGTGAGGATGGTATAAGTGACAGAGATCAATGCATCCTGATCCGATGAGTAGCTGGAGCTGGGTCTCAGGTAGATGAAGGAGGCACAGCCATAATGAACAACCACCACTATCAGGTGAGCACTACAGGTGGAGAAGGCTTTGTGCCTCCCTCGGGCTGAAGGGATCTGCAAGATGGCCAGGACAATGAAGAGGTATGAAATGAGAATCAGCATCAGTGGTATTGTAAGGACAGAGATACCCAGCGTGAAGATAATGGCCTCGCTGAGATTTGTGTGAGTAAAGGCAACTCGGAGGACAGGGGAGATGTCACAGAAGAAATGGCTGAGTTTCCTGGATGCCTGGAAGGGCAAGCAAAATACCAAGGGGGTAACCACCTGGGCAATCAGCAAGCCACTCAGAGCAGAAGCAACCACCAGCTGAGCACACACTCGCCAAGTCATGCTGCTGTTGTAGTGCAGGGGGTGGCAGATGGCAACACAGCGGTCATAGCCCATGACTGCCAGGAGGAAGGAGTGGGAGCACCCCAAGAAAAGGAAGAAGTACATTTGTACAGCACAGCCCAGGAAAGAAATCGTTTTTCTCTCTGCTATTAAGTCTACCAGCATCTTGGGGACAATGACAAAGGTGTAGCAAGTCTCGCAAAAGGACAAGATGCAAAGGAAAAAGTACATGGGTGTGTGAAGGCTCCGATCAACCCATATGATAATCATTATAGTGGTATTCATGCTCAGAGTGACCAGGTACAGCAGCAAAAACACCACAAGAAGCAGCTTCTGCAGTTCTGCGAGGCTGGAGAAACCCAGGAAGATGAAGTCTGTGGCCAGGGTTTGGTTGTTGTTCCCCATGGAAATGAAAAGTTTTCTCTGCATGTCGGGCAGTAAGAAAAACAGCACCCGGGTCACAGAAAGTACAAGGTAGCCTGTTGCTGTGACAAAAAGAATTTGCTTCAGTATCCCTCACAAAAACCCGTTCCTGGCCTCTGTGCCCACAGTACTGGTTGGCCTCCTTGGACAACGATGGTGTTGTGCGTTGGCTTGGAACATGCAATGGCTAGTGGGTGCTGTGGGCAAGCTCCTGGCCTTGCTGCGGCTCCCAAGAGCACATGGGTGACTCAAGGACACATGCCTCCTTCTCTCACGTGATCCAGGGAGCTGTGGTGGCACGGTGGCTGGAGCTCACCTGGAAAGTGCTGTCTCTTTTGGGGAAGCCCCATTTCTCATCTTCAGAGTGGAGAAGGTGGCATCACCTACCTGTGTGCAAATGCATTAAAGGCAATCACTGTGAGGGCAGGAAAGTTTCAGCCTGGAGATGGAGGGGTGGAGGAGGGTCTGCAAAGACTTTCTTGTAAGCTGTGATTTTGGGAAAGCAGCTGAAAGACTTCCTGTGACCTGCAAGAGAAGAAACACCATTGCAGAGCCTCTCACTCGTACGAGGGGTGTGTTAGCTCTCAGTGACATGTGCAGAGCTGTATAACCTGAAGCGCTGGAGCCACTGGCAATGCTGTGCCGAGTGGATGGAGAAGAAAAGCAGGTAAAATAGGATTTGAGCAGCACAGCTAATGCCCACTGCAAATCCATGGCAATCCTTGACCCTGAGTATGGGTTATGGGACAGCAAAGGGACCATGTGTGAACAGCTGCCGGTGCTGCAGTAGTTTCCAAGAAGAGACACAAGGGAAAGGGTCTTATCTCTCCGGGAGAATGAAGGAATCATTTGCCCTGAGATAGTGGTTGACATGGATGGCATGTTTCCTTCCTCACACAAAGGGCAGTGATGCAAAGGGGTCTTATATGAATGAGACTCAGACCTTCTTCCTTCTGCAAGGGTTAATGCATGCCAGGATGGCAGGGCTGAGTGCAGGGTGCTGCTACAGTATGTGTCCCTCTGCTCCCCTCCAATCTCCAGCACTAGAAAATAAGGATGCAGAAAAGAAATCTGTGGAGCCAGGGGAAAAATAAGCCACAAACCATACCTGCACTGGCCAGAAGGATACTCAGGTGTGGAGCAGGCTTGCAGCCCTTTGTGTATTTGCGGCTGGAGGCATCACCAGGCTCTCTGGCAGACCTAGCCTTCCTGTCCCTTTGGGCAGGGGGCCAGCAGCTACCGGCTCTTATGGAGGAGGTGGTGCATATTCATTAATCCACCGAAGGACTGCTACGTCCACACCAGTGATAGGCATTGTTAATTAGTTTCAATGGATGTAATTAAGAGCTGATCTATTTCTCTTAGGCACACCAAAAATACCATTGGCAATTCTCAGTAATGGATGTGTGCTGAACTCAAGACTCAAGGATTTTTCCTAAGCGATGACTAGGATCAATCAGGCCCTTTTAGGTATTTCTTCCTTGCAGAGACAGAGGAAAAAAAAAATCTCTTCCTGTCCTGATACCATCTCCTGCTGCAAAGTCCCCATCTGCCTTGGACTCAGTGGGCTTGCAGCACCCTCCACTGCTAGCCTTTGCACACCCTGTGGGAAGGGACAGTCATGTGTTTTTGGAGGGATTTGTGGCTATACCTCAAATATTATCAAAGCATCATAAAATCACAGAATATCCTGAGCTGCAAGGAAGCCATGGGGATCATCAAGTCCAACTTGCAACTCCACACAGAGCAACCTAAAAGTTAAACCATAGATCCAAGAGCATTTTCTAAACACTTCTTGAACAGTAACAGATTTGGGGCCATGGCCACTTCCCTGGGGAGCTTGTTCCAGTGCTTGGCCACTCAGTGAAGAACTCACTTGACCCTCTCAGTGAAGAACTTTCTCCTAATATCCCATCCGAACTTCCCCTGATGCAGTGTTAAGCCACTCCCTCATGTCTTATCGCTGGACATCAGAGAGAAGAAATCAGCACCTGACTTTCCATCTCCCTCATGTGGGAGTTGGAGACAGCAATGACACTCCTCAGTTTCCTCTTCTTTAAGCTGAACAAACTTGGTATTCTCAGCTGTTCCTCATAAGTCATGTCCTTTAGTTCTTTCACCATCTTTGGTGAAAAGTCCTTTGGACACATTCTAATATTTTATATCCTTCTTATATTATGGAGCCCAAAACTGCACATAGGACATGAGGCGAGGTTGCACCAATGCTGAGTATAGTGGGACAATCACTTCTTTCGACTGGTTAGCTATGGGGCTTAATGCACCCCAGGACATGTTTGGCCCTTTTGGCCACCAGCACACATTGTTGACTCATATTGAGCGTACCTTCAATCAAAACTCCCAGACCCCATTCTTACAGGGCTGCACTGCAGCCTCTTCTCCCTCAACCTATATGTACTTCCAGTATTACACCATCCCTGGTGCAGAATCCACCATTTGCTCTTGTTGAATGTCATACAGTTGATGATTGCCCAGTGCTCTAATCTATCAAGATCTCTCTATAAGGCCTCTCTACCACCAAGGGAATCAATGACTCTTCCTAATTTAATATCACTGGCAAACTTCCTTACTGTGCACTCCCATGTCTAGGTCATTGATAAAACCAATGAAGATAATTGGTCCTAAAATTAAGCCCTGAGGAACACCACTAGTGACTGTCTGCCAGCCAGATATTACCCCATTTCCTACAACACTTTGAGCCCAACCCTTCAGCCAACTGTTCATCATCACATATATGGCTGCAAGGGGTTGTTCCTTCCCAGAGGGCAGGAATTTGCACTTGCCCTTCTTGAACTTCATGAAGGTTCCTGTCAGCTCATTTCTCCAGCCTGTCCAGGTCCTTCTGGATGGTAGCATGGCCTTCTGGCATATCCGTTGCTCCTCCCAGTCTTGTAACAGCAGCACTTGCTGAGGGCACACTCATCCAGATCATTAATGAAGATGTTAAACAGGACTGGACCCAGTATAACCCATGGGGTACACCACAAGTTACACTACCCCTGGAGTACTGTGTCCAATGCTGGCCTCTGCAGTATGAGACATGGACACACTGGAGAGAGTCCAACAAATTGTCACAAAGATGATTAAGGGACTGGAGCATCTCTCCTGTCAGGAAAGGCTGAGAGACCTGGGATAGTTTAGCCCAGAGAGGGCTCAGAGAGGATCTTATCAATGTATAAAAATACCTGAAGGAAGGGTGCAAATAAGACTGAGTCAGGTCTTTTCAGTAGTGCCCAGTGACAGAACAAGAGGCAATGGGCACAAACTGAAATACAGCCAGCTCCCTCTGAACATAATGGAACACTTTTTGGTAAGGCACATACATAGTGCCATGAGCGCTGGCACAGATTACTCAGAGAGGTTGTGGAGTCTCCCTTCCCTGAGATATTAAAAAATCATCTGGACATGTATCTGGACCACCAGCTCTAGGTGGCCCTGGTTGACCAAGGTAGTTGGACTAGATGACCTCCAAAGGTCCCTTCCACCCTCAACCATTCTGTGATTCCGTGATTCTGTGAAAATGGGAAATAGGGACACCACCTTTTCTCTCCTTAGCAGGCTTTGTGATACATTTACTGTGTATCAGGAGGTGTGGTCCAAACAGTAATGTGGTCTGACAGCGCATTATAAATCAAACTTTATTTAGGCAGTAAGAAGGATGAGCAACAGCACTCACACAGAGTGACTCGCCCAATCACCAAAAGCAAACACAGGATTGTCAGTGATGTCGTGGCTCCAGTGGACTATCATGGACACTTAGCGTCTGGGTCATCTGGCAGCAACAGTCAATCATGCAAATGCCTTTTGAATGTTGGTAAGAGTCATGACACCCCTTGGCTCCACCAATGCTAGTATGATTTGAGAGAATCATACCTTACATGGCAGTAATGTGCCTTGTGTGTCATTTTGGATGACATGGGTGGCATCCTGCCTACGTGCCAATGTTGGTCAAGGGGCAGGCTGTCAGGAGGTCTCCAGCCCACCCTCCTGCTCCCAGCAGGGTCAGATATGTGGTCAGAGCCAGTTGCTCAGGACTTGATGCAAGCTGTGACTTGAAAACCTCCAAGAATGGATGCCACGACTATATCTCTTGGTAGCCACTTCCTGTCTTTGACTCTCCTCATGAGGAAGAAGATTTCCCTTATCTCCTGTGTGAAGTTTTCTTACGAAAATCTCTTGTCCTCCCTCCATGTACCCCAGTGACACTGGCTGGAGGAGATGGGGAAAGGAAAAGAATTCGTGTTCTCCATCCCTCTATACCAAAAAGGAGCTCCAGAAAGGCTAGGTTAGTAATACTTGGAAGCCTCATGGCTTCGGTTGGTGGCCATTCTTCCCTAAAACTGGAAGCTTCCTGAAAGCTCCGGCCTTTTGGACAAGGTAATTTTCTTCTCAGTTTACTGTCCAATTGTCTCCTCTATGCAATATATTTAAATTATTTCTAGTTTGCACAAGGAAGAGAAGAAATTCCAGCAGTGCACAAGGATCAAGTCACCACTTGAGAGAGCTTGACCCATAAAAGTCTGTGGGGTTTCGTCCACAGCTGTTGAGAAAGCACAGAGGGTAGTCCTGAACAGGTAACACTCTGCCTGGAGGCCGGTAGCAAGTGGAGTACTGCAAGGGTGTGTCCTGAGAGGTCTTACAGTACCTATCAGGTGGTTAACAAGATTCTAAATTCTTCACCTCAGTACATAGTTGAAGGAAGAGGGATCATAGACAAAAGCTGAAAGAAGGGTCATTTAGACTGGTGTCGCCCTATGGAGAAATCTTTTCACTATGCACTGTACTGGGTTGCCAAGAAAGGTTGTGCTATTCCTGTCCTTGGAGGTCTTCATATGATGGTGGAGCAAACATTCAACTGTAGCCCATGGAGGACCCCATGCCAGAGCAGGTGGAGACACCTGAAGGAGGCTGTGACCCCATGGGAAGCCCATGCTAGAGCAGGCTCCTGGCAGGACCTGTGGACCCGTGGAGAGAGGATCCCACGCCAGAGCAGGCTTGCTGGAAGGACTTGTGACCCCGTGGGGGGACCCACGCTGGAGCAGTCTGCTCCTGAAGGTCTGTACCCTGTGGAAGGGACCCATGCTGGAGCAGCTTGTGAAGAACTGCAACTTGTGGGAAGGACTCACATTGGAGAAGTTCATGGAGAACTGTGTCCCATGGGAGGGACCCCATGCTGGAGCAGTGAAAGTGTGTGTCGAGTCCTCCCTCTGGGGAGGAAGGAGTGGCAGAGACAATGTGTGATGAACTGATCACAACCCCCATTCCCCATCCCCCTGTGCTGCTGAGAGGGGAGGAGGGAGAGAAATGGGGGTGAAGTTGAGCCTGGGAAAGAAGGGAGGGATAGGAGGAGGTGTTTTAAGATTTGGTTTTATTTCTCATTACTCTGATTTGATTCATTATGAATTAAATTAATTTTCTCAAGTTGAGTCTATTTTGCCCGTCACAGTAATTGGTGAGTGATTTCTCCCTGTTCTTATCTCGACCCACGAGTCTTTTGTTATATTTTCTCTCCCCTGCCCAGTTGAGGAGGGGAAGTGATAGAGCAGCTTTGGTGGGCACCTGGCATCTAGTGAAGGCTAAACCACCACAGATCACATTTGCACTGGAAGTCCACATAACTCCTGGCACTCCTAATGTCAGGCTGGCATCCTCTCCAAATCTGAAGCCCAGAGGCATCAGCCATCCAGTGCTGTGCTGCGCAGGGCAGACTTTGTCACTCTGCTGCCATCACCACTGATGCTGTGCCCATGTCCCATCCTCCTGCCACCAGAATGCCCCAGAACCCCAGACAGCCCCAGCTCCTTTGGAGGCTGCGATGAAGTCTGTCAGGAGCAGGCTGAGGTGGGGTGGCAGGAGATGGGCCCTTGGCCCTGCCAGGCTGGCAGGCCTGGGCAGTGAAAGTCAAGGTCCCTTCTGCTCAGGCTGGGCAGTTTTCCCTGGGGAGCTCCCTCATGAGCGGCTGCTGCTGGCAATCCTGGCAGGATCACCAGAGCTTGGGCTGCTGGGTGGATGTGCACAGACAGTGAAAGGGGGACAGTCTGCCCAGGGGGAATGAAGAGACTGTGTCTGTGCATGCAGGGGTAGACCTAGGGAAACCAGAGCTCAGCTGGAGCTGGAAGCAGCAAGGGGTGGGTAACCAGAAGAGCTTCTCTAGATAAATCTGTAACAAAAGGAAGGCAGCTAAGGAAAAGGTGTGCCTGCTGCCTAGCGGAGCAGAGGACTGGGGCAGAGGACCTACCGACCAAAGGCATGTAACGATCTGAGTTATTCAGCACCTTTTTTCCCTCGTTTTCACTGGTAAGTTCTGCCTCAGGCTTCCTGGTTTCCTAAGTCTCCTAACAGAAACTGTGGGATCTGAGCACCCAGTCCCCGCACAGCCCCACAGGGGCACAGGAGACAGCCATCCTCTGGAACCTCTTGGAGTCTGGTCCAGAAGAGAAGCCATGCAGGGCTGACCTTTTTCCTTTACTCAGGATATGGAGATGTCCTGGAGGATCAAGCTGGTCATGTACTACCCCGGAGCTGAGCTGAGCAGCTGGCACTGTAAATGAGTGATGTGAGGGGCTGCCCTGTGACGATTGCCCTGGGACATCTTCCCAGTCTGTCCAGGGAGCAGACCAGGCTCCTCTTCAGCACCTTCCACATTTGTCCCAGTAAACTGTCCTTATCCCAACCCACAAGGTTTTGCCTTTGTCTTCCCATTCTCCTACCTATCCCACCAAAGGAGGGTTGACCGAGCAGCCGTGTGGTGTTCAGCTGCCAGCTGAGGCTAAACCACAACGGTGCTGACACCTGAGCCCTGGATCCAGACCTGGGTCCCCATCAGATCACTCTAGGATGCTGAGCTCATCCTTCAGGCCACTGGGGAACCAAAGCAAAGCCAGAGGATCTTTTAGGGTGCCATTTATTTTCTATGTTCTTTCCCTGATCTTTTGAATTATAGCTTGGTCTTCAGGACCAGCGCTGAAGATCTCTGCAGTGAGACGACATCTTTAAAGACATAATATCGGGAAGTCAGCTGTGACAATGTTGTAAACGTACACAACATGCTTCTAGGTCAGACACAACAGGTTTATGCATTAGCAGAGTTGGGAAGAATCCAAACATTTCTATATGAACATGAGGATCACATAGACAACAACAGCAATGAACATCAAGCAGAATGCAGAACTATCCTGAGATACCATGGGTGTCATGACTACATATGGCTGGGCAAGTTATTACAGATGAAAAATGTCTATGAAATCAGCTCAGTGCATCTTTGAGCTCCTTCTCCAAAGAATGGAGGGCAGCTAATTCCAGCAGCGTGGTTTGGCTTATCAAAGAATGGCTATCAAAAAGAGATGGAAATTCTCCCTCTGTTAACCCCTGGGTTTTTTATTCCTTTTTGGCTGGACAACTAGGCAGCAACAGCAAGAGGTGCATTTTCCCTTCTGTAGGGCAATTCAGCTGAGCCAATGCACATATCCTACCACTGGTCAGAAACCCTTGGGCTGAATGGGTATTCAGCTCCCCCCATGCACCATGCAGACCCACAGGAGCTGGGATTCCTCTTGCTACAGTTCAAGTGTGCACAAAAGAGGTGCTTGTGTGTGAGTTCCTGGTCTAAAAATCCTCTATAATCAGTGGGGATGGAGGGTGACAGTTAGTCATTCACACTTAGGACCTGGTGGCATTTGAGGTGCCAGAGGTGGTCCATGACATGCACAAGCGTCTGCAAGCCCTGATGAAAAAATTTTGAGGGACCCATGTCGTTCTTGTGCATTAACACTGCGGGTGAGTGGGCCTCCATAAGGATGACATTAATTATTCTCCAGCCTACCTTCCCCATGCTGCTGGGTCCCTGCTGCCTCCTCTGGGATTGCAGAGTTCTTCTTTCCCTGTGGACATCTCAGTTCAACACTTTACCTTTAGGTGACTCCACCTTCAGTGCTCTCTCAATTTGTGGGGCTCCAGTCACTGCCCACCAGAGGCACACACTGTCCCTGGACATCCTCCAGGCTCTCCAAGCAGCTCCAGTTTGTCCTCAAGAATGATGTCATCTGCCAAGTCCAATATGGGAGAGCCCCAAACATGAAACTCAGTGACCAGTCATTGCCCCCCATTGTCACTAGACACTGATGAGTGAGTCCAAAATCCAGTCCTCAGTTGCTAACAGGTGACAATGTGACTGATAGGTTTTTGCTCCTGCAGCCGTACAGAATCCTGAGCAATGTCCTTATGGGGATGCAATTGCTCATGTCTACTCCTGACACCAGCATTGGAAGAAAAGCTCATGGCACACAGGAGATCCCATTTTCTTACAGAGGTGCTGTGAGGGATTCAGCTCTGGCCCAGTGTTCAACACCTTTATTCTGGCTCCAGATGACAGAGAGCATGCTCATGCCTCAGTAGAAGTAGAAAGAATCCAAACATTTCTGTAGTCACATTCTAAACAGAAACTATAATGATAATAATAATGAGGTCAATAATAAAAGGTCAAGACTTCTCTGGGACACCCTTGGAGACATTTCTGGAGAAAGATGGGAAGTTTATCACTATTAAAACAGTGTTGATGAAATCAGCTTCCTCAGGGCATCCTTGAGCTCCTGGTTCCTCATGCTGTAGATGAGGGGGTTCACTGTGGGAGGCAGAACTGAGTATAGAACTGTCACCACCAGATCCAAAGAGAGGGAGAACATGGAAGGGGGCTTCAGATAGGCAAACATGACGGTACTGATAAACAGGGAGACCACAGCCAGGTGAGGGAGGCACGTGGAAAAGGTTTTGTGCCGTCCCTGCTCAGAGGGGATCCTCAGCACGGCCCTGAAGATCTGCACGTAGGACAGCACAATGAAAACAAAACACCCAAATGCTAAACAAAGACTAACCACAAGGACCCCAACTTCCCTGAGGTAGAATTCTGAGCAGGAGAGTTTGAGGATCTGAGGGACTTCACAGAAGAACTGGTCTATGGCATTGCCTCGGCAGAGTGGTAGTGAAAATGTATTGGCCGTGTGCAGCATGGCATTGAGGAAACCAGCGCCCCAGGCAGCTGCTGCCATGTGGACACAAGCTCTGCGGAGGGTCGCGTAGTGCAGGGGTTTGCAGATGGCAACGTAGCGGTCATAGGCCATGGCGGTGAGAAGAAAATACTCCACTGACATCAAAAAGAGAAAGAAAAAGAGCTGTGCAGCACATCCTGCATAGGAAATGTCCCTGGTGTCCCAGAGGGAATTGGCCATGGATTTGGGGAGAGTGGTGGAGATGGAGCCCAGGTCGAGGAGGGAGAGGTTGAGGAGGAAGAAGTACATGGGGGTGTGGAGGCGGTGGTCACAGGCTATGGCGGTGATGATGAGGCCGTTGCTCAGGAGGGCAGCCAGGTAGATGCCCAGGAAGAGCCAGAAGTGCAAGAGCTGCATCTCCCGTGACTCTGCAAATGCCAGGAGAAGGAAGTGGGTGATGGAGCTGCTGTTGAACATTTAGTCTCTCTGGGATTTGAGTGCTGTACAAGAAAAATATATATGGACAGCTCAGGGCAGGCTTCTCTGAGAAAAAACTGTTCTTTTTCTCACAGAAACCTCCCACATTGCCTCTCTTCTCAAGAAGACCTTCGTGCTTCTTCCTCCTTTCATTGAATCATAAAACCATAGAATCATGGAATCGTTTATGTTGAAAAAGACCTTTAAGATCATCAAGTCCAACTGTAAACATCACACTGCCAAGTCCACCACTAAACCATGTTCCTAAGCACCACATCTGCATGTCTTTTAAATACCTCCAGGGATGGTGGCTTAACCACTTCCCCGGGTAGCCTCTTCCAGTGATTTACAACCCTTTTGGTTGAGAAATTTTTACTAATTTCCAATATAAGTCTCCCCTGGCACAACTTGAGGCCATTTCCTCTTGTCCTATCACTTGTAATTTTCGAAAAAAGACTGATGTCCACCTTCTTACAACCTCCTTTCAGGTAGTTGTAGAGCGCAATAAGGTCTCCCTTCAGTCTCTTTTTCTCCAGACTAAATAACCCCAGTTCCCTCAACCACTCCGCACAAGACTTGTTCTCCACACCCCTCCCCAGCTTCATTGCTCTTCTCTGGACACGCTCCAGCACCTCAATGTCTTTCTTCTAGTGAGGGGCCCAAAACTGAAAACTGTACTTGAGGTGTGGCCTCACCAGTGCCGAGTACAGGTGCATGGTAGTTCTGATTTTGTTCTGATTTACTCTGGCTGAGTGTACCATGAGGAGGAGGGTCCTCATCCAATGAGTTCCTTCGGAGTCAGACCTGCTCTACAGCAGCTGGTACACAGAAACAGCAAAAAGCCCTGTATATCGAGGTGGTCACTGAGGATAGACACCTCGGGCTGAGTGCAGGAGCCTGGATTAAATGCCCCTGTGGGAATAGTCTCCATGTCCTGAAGGGAGAGATGACATTAGCACTTGGGCCACCTACGTCTGGAAAAGTGCCCTGGGAGGGATTTCCTTTTTCTGGTTTTACCCTTTTGAACAGAGGTGACTGAGTGAATCAGTCACTAGTGAGACAGAACCTGCCTTCCAATCTATTGCCTTCCATCTGCGCTTCGTCTGTAGACGTGGTCAAAAGAGAGAGGCGGTTCGGGACTATTACTGCATGGACATCCTCACTCACCTGAGAGGCACTCATCAGGAGGAAGGCTGCTGGAGGTCTTACTGCTCTGTTCTCCAGTGGATGGACTGTAGCACAGAGGCTTAACAATACACTTTCTTGTAATCTTGTCAGATCAGGGGTACATTCTTTGAAGGGGTAGAAATCCTCAACTTTTGGATTGCTCTCAGCATCAGTACTAGTGAGTCCTGAGAGAGACAAATGGTTCCCTGTAGGCACAGAGTCAGGAGAGCTGGTCTCTCCAGCAATCTCATTCCCAGCTGCCATGTCCAGCCTCTCTCAGCTGGAAGATGATCACACTCAGAAGTTGCTCTGAGAAAGGAACTGTACGGAGCTGGGGGAATTCATGATTCAAAGTGCAGCTCTCCAAATTCCTCTCTTGTTCTCAGCTCAGAATGAGCACAGAGTGACACAGAGGTTGTGCTCTTCACACAGATGACTAGAACAACCACTCTAGGGTGCTGTGTCTGCAACAGAGTGAGGTCTCAACACTCCCTTTCTAGCCCAGGGAATGCAAAGCTCATTTCATCCTCTCGCATACCCATGCTGAAAAATGCTCAGCAGCATTTCTATGGCCTCAGTATCACCATGGCTTCACTGTGGGGCTCTCAGATATCACGACGATGCTGTGGGAGAGCTGGACCTTTGTGAAGAACGGTTTGACATGACACTTACAGGGGGACGATTAAAGGTCCTGAGGTGGTGTGGCTTCAGAGAGAGTCTGCTTCTTTCCCAAACCCTTCTGCCCTGGTAAGAACAGACAGAGAAACAGTAGAAGATGGGGTCTTCTGAAAGGACACTAGTCACATTTCCCAATCCCACATGCTGTATTGCCTGGAGTCCCAGAATTCGGAGAGGGGCAGGGACACCTCATTCCCATGCAGACATATCTTGGGCAGCACACTCAGAGTTGCTGTCTGACCTTTAGCTGAAATTCCAGTCCCCAGAGAGCCAGCAAAAAATAACAGGACAGCATGGACAGGTGTAGAAATATTGGAAAATACCATGATGCTTATGTCAAAGAAGGCAAAGAGGCAGAGAAATACTTTGGAGAGACATTACCTTACCCAGCTCTGCACAGACCCTATCAACACTGCTGGGCAGTCACTCCAAGACCCTCTGTTGTGCAGGACGAAAGGAGCAGTCTCAGGAGACAAGCACCCCTCCTGTGCTGGAGTTCTGGCTGCAGAGGAGGTAGATCATGCCCTGGACACCACGGTCTACATGGTAGAAGTTGTTGTGGGTTGGGGAGGAGACCAAGGCCTTGCTCAGAGGAAGACAACTGCGCTGGAGGAATGGACAAGCAGCTGCCCAAATTCACCTTGTCCAGCGCTTCTGTCAGCACTTTCCTCTCCTCCCCTGACATATCTCCACTGCCTGGAGCTGTTTGTCCATGTAGCTGTTTCTCTGTCTTTTCCCATCCTACCTTGTATACACTCAGCTCTGCCCTGCAGAAAACTCCCGTCGGCAGGGCACACTCTGGAGCATCCCGGTGTTTGGTGGTCCAGAGGACCAGGTCAGAAGAAAACAGACCAAAACTAGAAAATGTGATGCTGCTGCAGTCTTAGGCTGAGGAGAGGGTGATTGGATACTACCAGGTTTCCAGCAGGCCTACTGATCTGTCAGTCTTTTGTCCAAATTTACCTTGTTTTCCATTTCTCTCCCCTCCCCAACCCTCACCAGCAGTAGGAAACTGAAAGCACAAACTCAGGAAAACTCTTTTTCTTTAAAATAATTGCTGCTTTGACAACACTGATGAAAACTCCCCTCAGAAGTGTCCTAGGGGTGATATGAAGCTGAAGCACCCTCTAGACAGTAGAAGAATCCTGCCCTGCTGAGGTTGCTCCATCCACCCAGATCTTCTCCCTGCAGCACCATGGGGAGCTCCCCAGGGAGGCTGAGTGCTGACCCTGGACAGCAGCAGAGTCCCTGCCCCAGCACACAGCCCCTGGGGTGCAGGGACCCTGCTTGGAAGGACAGTCCTGGGCACCACCTACCTTCACACCCTTGCAACCATCCGCAGGAGAAGGGAGACATGATACCCTGTCCCTCTGACCATGGAGAAAGGAATGCCTGCTCTAGAGCACTGTTGTGGTTTAACCCTGCAGGCAGCTAAAGACAGACAGTTGTTCGCTCACCCACCTCCCGCCCCAGTGGGAGAGGGAGAGAATTGAAAATGGAAAAGTAAAACTCGTGGGTTGAGATAAAGACAATTAAATAGGACATAAAGGAAGATTATGATGATGATAATTATAATAATAATAGAATATAGAAAACAAGTAACGAACACCACAAAGTATGAGAAGCTGAAAAGTCCTTGAGTGCTTGGCAACAACTAAAAACATCAGTGTGCTATTAGCACTATTTGTATTCCAAATCCAAACCACAGCACTATACCAGCTGATAGGAAGAAAATTAACTCTATCCCTACCAAAACCAGGACAAGTGCTTCCTTCTCCCACACAAAAATGTTTATGCAAGATCCCATAGGCTGTGAGGTGTACCTCCTTTAGGACATCCCTCCTAGAACTGCTGCTGTACTGCTCTACACTGAGACTTACCACATCAAGGGCTGTGAAAATTCCTCTACCTGTGAGCTCTCCTCTGTCCTCCTACCTCAGACTGCCTTTCATCTCCCTCTGCCTCACTCATCTCCCCTCGCTGTCTGCAGGCAGTGCCCGCAGCCCTGCTACGCTTTGCAGTGGATCTGCTCCTGGGCAGAGCTGTCCCTGTGCAGCACTGCCCGATTGCCATGAGCTCCCTCCATCCCAGGAGCCCAGCCCAGCTCAGCAGCAGAGGATTAGCCCAAGGTGCCACTTTCTCTGTCCCCTCTGGGCTCCCTCCAGCTGTCACTGGTTCTCCAAGGGAACCTGCTGTGAAGCAGACTGAAGTAATCACTGAAGTAATCACCCTTAGCTGGTGAAAGACGCTTATTTCCAGCAGTGTCATTTCTTTTATCAGGAAAAGACTTAGGTATAAAAATCACCTTTTCTTGTCTTAATATTAGACAAGACTCCGAGATGCTGAGAGGGAGGGATCTCCTTTACCTTTGTTGAGGAAGTGATTCAGCTGAGTTAGTCGAGGCATCTCACTCCAGATTTGTAGTCCTGGCCCTAGAAGGGAATTCAGCTCCCTCTCATGGCTGTCACAAACCCACAAGACATGGGATTCCTCTCTCTCATGGGATTCAGGTGTGATCAAAATAAGCACCTGCATGTGAGCTCCTGGTATCATCTCCACTGCTAATTAAAGATGAAGGCCAGAAGTGAGCTGTTCAAACAGAAACACGTGGTGACATTTGAGGTGCCATGAGTGGTCCAGATATGTGCAAGTAACCGCAAGCTCTAATGGAGCAACTCTGAGAGACAGGGCAGCATCAGGGGCACCATCTTAGTGTTGGGGCACCCCAAATCTCTCAACCTTTCTTCGTCGGAGGGGTGTTCCAGCCCTCTGATAATCTTCATGGCCCTTCTCTGGACTTGCTCCAACAGGTCCATGTCTTTCTTGTCCTGAGGACTCCAGAGGTGGATGCAGTACTCCAGGTGGGGTCTCACAAGAGCAGAGTAGAGGGACTTCACTCAACCTGCTGGTCATGCTTCTTTTTATGAAGCCCAGGATATGGCTGGCTTGCTGAGGGTGCCCTCAATCCCACTCTCTGTGGGTGGGATTCAGCCCATTCAGCCCTTGGTGAAGCCATGCTGGCTGTCTCAAATCACCTCTCTGTCCTCCATGTACCTTAGCATAGCTTCTAGGAGGATCTATTCCATGATCTTCCCAGGCACAGAGGTGAGACTGACAGGTTGGTAGTTCCCAGGGTCCTCCTTTCTAACTTTTTT